GGCCCCGGGGCAGGCCCTGCTGTAGGGGGGACATGGGCCCCGAATCGGACCCCGGCGGGGGGAGGGGGGGTGGACACGGAGCCCCAGTGCGGGGACACCCACCGACCGCAGCGTTCCCCTCCTCGACCCCCAGCCCAGGCCGGGCCCCGTTCCTGCTCCCAGGTTTCTCCGACAGCGGCTTATTCCGCCCCAAAGCGCGGATCCGTCAGGAGCCGGCCGGCTCCGCCAGGACCTCGCCGACCTCGGCAGCGCTTTTCGTGCCAAAACCCCAAATTTCTACATTTTTGGCTGCCGGCAAATGGCTGCAGACACAGTTACGTGTTAATTATTCCTGAATGCAGCTGTATCTCGCAAAGAATACTCCGTATTTTGGGGGAGAAGAGCCTTGATTTGGCTTTTGTTTGGTTTTTTGTCTTTTTTTCCCCCGGAAAGAAACGCTGCTCTTGCACAGAGTTCCTCTTACTCTGCACCTTCCCTTGAAAACTTGGGATAATTTTTTTTAAGCAACCCCCTTCCCGAGAACTAAACCAACAGATTTAACTGGCGAGACACGCAAGAAACCTGCCAGCCCGGGAAGCAGCGCGTGGCAGGGGCAGCACGGCATCGCTTCCAGCGGCACGCGAGCGCTCCGTGTCCTCATCTCCACCATCCCGACCCTTTAATTTCTCGGTAGGTCACCGAGAGCGCTCGTTTGGAAGCACGGCTCGGCCGTGAACAGACGGGAGAGCGCGCGGGGGATGCGGGCTAACGGAGCGGGAGACCCCGACCCGCACGAGAGAAGCCGCTCGTTAAAAACCAGAGCCCTTCGCCGAGCAAAGCTGCCAGCAGAGGGGAAGGCAGCTCCTTGCTTTTCCCCAAATGCGGAGGTTTTGCAACCCGCGTTCCTTACTGTTTAAACACAAAAAAAAAAGTAATCACGGGATGTCGCCGGCAAAAAAAAAAAAAAGTAATCACGGGATGTCGCCGAAATGACCAAATCCCGGAAAAATAAGAGGAGAAATCCGGGAAAGGGGAGACTGCGCCGTTGCGGATTTAACCTTACCTCTGACCTGACAGCGTGGGCATCGGAGAGGGAAATTAAAACCAAACTGCAGGGTCGCTCCCGCATGGGAACGCCACTGCGGCACCCGCACCGTGCCGGCGTGCCGCCCGGCACTCGCCGAAAGCACCTACAGGTGCAAGAAACCTCGCAGGAGGCGGTTCGCCAACAGCTTTTGGCCCGAAGCTGGATAATTTACATTATTCCCCACATCCCGGGGTATTTCGAGATGAGGGTGATGCCTCCCATCAGCAAGACCGCCCCGCAGGGACGGCGAGCTCGCCGGGATCGGCGTTTGCGGTACTCACCCAGTTCGCAGCCGGGCGAGCTCGGCTTGAGGGTGTATTTCTTGGGCATGGCGTTCCCACTTCGCTCGCTCTCGCTCTCTCGGCGGTTTCTGGGAGCAGACAGCCCGGTCAGCGTTCCTCTCTCTATATAAGAGGTGTCCCCACCCTTCCCCGCCGGCTCCCC